AAATCTATCATACCATTCATACAATAGCCTCTCTATGTGCTTCGTTTATTGGTGTAATTCAGAACACATACATCACATTCTCAATGGTGATTCTATAACATTCTTCAGTGCCTCTGCCTTGAACCTTGCAGCCAATGGTTTTCAATTGCAGGATATCTGACTCCATTGCTACTCTAAACTCTAGACCGTAATTTTAATGTATAATTGAATTTTTGTGTTTACAATTGTATTTCATTTGAAACCCTAAACATAATCGTTACAAGCCCTAACGTTTGAATTTATCGATGAAACATTCTATTCAATTGCATTATGTACTTTTACAAAATCAGATTGAATAGGTAGTTACGTACATACAAATTAAACTTTGTGGTGATATGATGAAAACAGATTAGAAAAAGATTGACGATGATGTTTCTTGATATGGATGATCATCATTATGTTTATTGAATATAAGCAACTACCACTGTTATATCATCATACTTGCCGCCGATTGCATGCTCGTCGATTCCGGCGATCCTGGTCGACGCCGAGAATGGAGTATCGATGTTTCCGTTCAGGGAATTCCTAAGTGCGTACCGAGCAATCTTCCTCGCCAACTTCATCGGCTTCTTGTCGAAGCCCGATCTGTTAACCAAATCTTCCAGTTCGGATTCATGAACGTTGTCGAACAATCCATCCGTCGCCATTAGGATGATGTCTCCCGGTTTCACCTTCACCTCGAATTTCTCGGCCGCGGTCGGGTCGCCGCGCGATTTCCCCAGCTGAACCGGACAGTTGAACCGCGACTGCTGAGCCGGGGAGGTGTAGACGATTTTCCCATCGCGTAGGACTGCGAAGCCGCTATCGCCGACGTTAACGGCAATCATGCAGTCGTCAACTAACGTCAAGATACACGCCGTGGAAGAGCCTTGTGCTTTGGTGTCCACGTAGGCTTCATCGAGGGCTGTCATGGGGTCCACGGTGCCGACTGTGTCTCTCTGATGACGAATGGATAAGACGGCGTTAGACATCAGCTCTCTGGAGTACTCTCCGGCGTCGATGCCCCTCTTTGCCCAGCCGCCGACGCCGTCCGCCACGCCGATCGTCTGCGCCTCCGAACAGACAAAGTGCGAGTCTTCTCCGAGAGGCTTCGCCCGATTGTGTTTGGGTATGTAGAACGCACCGGCGACCATTCTGGTTGTGCTCCGCCGTGCCAAGCCGCTGTCCACTAGGGTTTGGAGATAAACCTTAGTACTGGCTTTTGATGGATAGATCAAATGCTTTCTTTTCATCGTCACCGCCATGATTGGAATTTGAAAACTGAGAAATCCAAGAAACTAGAATAGGAAACAATAGTACTGCGTGAGAAGTCGGCTAGAGTATGGGATTCCCGCTTTTAACTAAGAATATTAACGTCGACTTAGTCCTAATAGGATTGGGATTAACGCATACTATTTAACCTTTTAAGTGTTGTTTGGATCACTTTTATATTAAATATAAATTAATAATCAACCCATTTTACAAGTCAACATTTAATTAACTAGTACTTAATTTGTTCGGTTTGGTAAAATAGTTAGCCTATCAGTTAATTATAACTTATTTGATCACTATTAGTTGTTTGATTTGGATAAACAATTAGCGTTTAATTAATTAACGTTTAATAACAACTTGTTGCTCAAAATTTTGCAATTCGCTCACTATATTTTACATTCATATATATATAATTGGATTTAAAATAATTTTGGACCACTGACCTTTTGTTTTGAATTCTTCCCAACCTTTTCTTTTGTATGGCATTGGTTATTAATGTTGTCATTTGAATGGCTTGCAAATCTTGTAACCCTTTGAAGTGGCGATTTCACATATGATCGCAATTCCATCCCTCCCTTTCAAAGACGAGTATAGCCTTATAAGTTAGAATGAGGGAGTATAAAATATATTGATGAAATTAAAATATATTTTCTAATTACACGAACAATTCGTAAACTAGAATGCAAGATCATGGGACAATGTACGTCCCTATTTATAGAAGAAAAACATATGTCTATTAGTTAGCTTAGTCCTACCATTACTCCAACTAGAACTCTACATTATATTAACCTAGGACGACATATATAACCTAAGACCTATTTCCACACAAATTGGGATGGATTACCATATTGTTTCCCATGCATCCTGGGCCAATCGAATTTGGGTCATAAATAATATATATTTAATATATTAAAAACATAAATTTTATTTATGATCCATACAGTTGTAGATGTGGACCATAAAAAATTGGTTTGGGCCACCACTTTTTATTGGGCCCTTGAGTATATATATAGTAGTTGGGCATTTGTTAGTAGGCAAATTATTGTGTGGAGTGTGGACCATGGTCTACACAGTGTTGCGCGGACCATAACAAAAAGTATATTTTTAATATATTAAATGTATATTATTTGTGTATTGAATTTACATTATACAATATAATGTACACTCAGTACCCAAATAATGTACATCCCCTGAACACAATGTACATTTTTAATATATTAAAAGTACATTATTTTTGTACCGAATGCACATTATTTTACAGTATATATACAAAATATGGTCCACACAATAATGATTATTGTTACTATGCCCCAATGCAACAAGTTATGATTAATGCTAAATACATATATCAAAAATATAATTTTAGTCAAAAAATATCAAAAATATAATTTATATGGTCAAGCCCGTCGCACAAAGTCTTCTTAGTACGGGTTATTCCTTATGTGCAATTTGAGGGATATTACTCATGAATAGGGTTTACCCCGTGTATACTCTCAAATAGTGATTATAAATTTCTCTCGTCATCGTATATACATACAAACACGTATATAGAGGTGAGTTCGAATATTATTAGTTTCATAAATTTTGTTTTATGCATTAGCAATATTTGTGTTGGATTTTTTACAAGAAGTTTGATAGAATTATTGTTAATATTACTGTTTTTTTTTTACTATAAATTATTTTCTTTTCTATTATTTTCTTTACTTTTTTAAAAAAAATATTTTTTATTGTTTCATATAAATAGTTTTGTTTGTAGGCACTATTTAATATCATTTAGGCGATTGATATATAATGTCGAGCTCTAGTATTGATAGCAATGACGATCTTGAGATGATTGATGTGGAGGAAGAACAAGTAGATGAAGAAGGATGTGACGAAGTAGAGTTTTATAAAATCATTCAACATTTATCGGAAACAATTTCTATGATTATACACATACTGAAAGAGGTTATTATTGATAATAATGGGAAACGAATTGAACATCCACTAGCTCGACGACCAATTACTTCACGTGGATACAATTACATAAAAAACGTATTGCCTAAAGATTCTGATAACTTTCGTCAGGTATACCGAATGTATCCAAATGTGTTTTTAAAGTTATGCCATATTATAAGAGAGAAAACACTTCTAAAGGATACAAGATACATTACTATTGAAGAAATGGTTGCAACATTTTTTCTAACGGTTGGGGAACTCTAGATATTGTCATACTCGTGAAACATTTTATCGGTCACACTTTGCTACAAGTAAGAATTTTCACAAAGTTTTAAAGGCTCTTAACACAATAGCACCTGAGATGATGGTCAAACCTAGTTCCACAGTGCCTACATGAATAAGAGAAAGTGCAAGGTTTTACCCTTACTTTAAGGTAAGTAATAAATCACTCTATTTGATTAATTATTGTTTTGTTTTTTTATGAGTGACATAGATATTCTTATACATCTGAATATGAAATTATATTTATGTGTTGAATTTACTTTAGGATTGTGTTGGAGCTATTGATGGCACACATATTCCAGCAATGGTAACTGGGCGTGATGTAAGCAGTTATCGTAATCGTCATGGAATAATTTCACAAAATGTATTGACTGTTTGTAACTTTGATTTAGAATTCATATATGTTCTTAGCGGGGGGGAAGGTTCAACACATGATTCAAAAGTGCTAAGTGACAGTTTATCAAGGAGGAATGGCCTTAAAGTGCCCCTCAGTTTAGTTTTTTTTATCAAGGGAAAGCAACAACATTTCCCTGCAAATTAATTAAACTACCATTTCAAAAAAAAAAAAATTAATAATAATATACAGTCAAGAAAACTTGTGAAGTAAATAACACTACTCTTCCATGTAAAGAAGCATAAGCATTCAGATTATTTTCAGGAGTGTTGCACTACTTGTGATTTAACTATTCAAGAGATACTTAGATTTTTTAGACAGTAATTGCATGGTGAAATTTTGAAAACAAGACACTGGTACGTGGAAGCATATTGGAAATTGTTTCTGTATATGCCACAAAATCTTCATTGTTGTTATTCTTGGATTATTTTTTTTAAACCTGTAGAAAAGTAATGTTATTGGATCACCATTGGACAGGAGAGCTGTTCTATGTCGCGCCAACAAAGCAAAGCACATTCAGAGGTTGTTGTATGAATGGTTTCAGACAACTTTTTAATGCAGGGCAATTGGGAAAGCAACACCATTCCCGTGCAAATGAAACTGTCCTTTCAAAAAAAAAAAAAAAAAAAAAAAAAAAAAAGCATACAGTCAAGAAAACTTGTTTATCTATTCAAAAGAGCCTGATATGTGGAAGCATATTGGAAATTGTTTCCAGTTTCCATAGTATGCCACAAAAGCTTTATTGATGTCATTCTTGGATTTTTTTTAATTTTTTTTATACCCTACAGAAAAGCATTGGAAAATGCTATTGTATGGAAAGAAAACAAATTTTAAGAATCGGGTTGAAGAAATTAAGAGAAGGGAAGAAATAATTTCAGTGGAATTTCACCACAGTTAGATTCCACAGTTCCAACAGCAATAGAGTTACAGAATCCTCGGTTGGGCATTGAAAAATGCTCTTGGCGGAAAGAAAACTGGTTTTGACAATTGGGAAGAAGAAATTAAGAGAAGCAAACAAGCTTGACCATTCGGTATTAATGCCATAAAATCTGCTTCTATATACAACAATTAATATGAAAATATGAAACTGCGTATGTGAAATTGCAACTCACATAAAAACAAATTTACTTCCTATCCTGTTTTGTCTAATATAAAAATGTATACACAACATTTGAATATTTATCCTAATCAACAGCAGAGAGGGAGAGGGAGAGAGAGAGAGAACCACAATTATGCCATGGCATGCAGATTAAGAGCATGGAAAATAACAGAAAATCTACTCTCATCTCTAATCTACAGGATGTCACACCTAAGTAATTTCTAGCTCAACATCAAGTACTACAAAGGGCTCTGTCCTGTACTAAGTCGTTCTCATTTTCCTCTTGATTAATTCAGCAAGCCATCCATCAGGAGTACAATTCAATGCTCATCTGGTCTTTTATCCTTCAGAATTTCATGCAGAGATTTTGGACCCTCAAAGTCTTGTTGTACACTTAGGCTAGAATGCCCTATTCTCTTGGGGAAATCTCCTACTCCTCTCCCTTTTGTCTTCTCTTCTTTGATCTGGGAAAGTGTCTTGGGCCCATTAAACATTGTAGACTCCTTGGTTGATTCTCTCTTCCTAGAAACTCTCCTCCTAGAGAACTTAGATGGAAAATGCTGCCGCTTTCCCTGTCTACTCCCCTTAAAAAGCTGCCTGTAACCACTCATCCGATAGCCTCTCAATGCACTTTGTTGGTTGGTGCAATTAAGCAAATTTTGTTTGTCTAATCGTGATCTAATACCATTGCTTTCCACCTTTGATGCCACTCTCCGATGCATCCACCTTGAACCTTGTAGGCAATGTCTACCCCTGCTTCGGGTACTTAAATGAGATGAGTCATGCCTCCTAGGGTAATAAGAGATAGTACTGGCATCAACAATCGGATGTTTCTTCAAATAATTCCTAAGGTCTACACTGCCCCTTCCATGAAAACCCAGATCTGTGTGCCATAACTTCCTTTTCCTTGGCAAAGTACCATCCATATCCTCCCTCTCTCTCACATGACCATGGATTATTCTAAGAGATTCACTGTTATACTCATTGTCAAATTTTTCAACAGAATCACATAAATCTTCTTCAAAAAGGAGTGTCATATCTGGATATTCAGGGTCATACTCTATATTTTCCTCAAAATCATATCCTAAGTACTGACCATTAAGCTCTCCACCATCCACATCATGTTGCATCAAGTAATCATGATTTTCATACCCCAAGTCTGATCTACCACCAACAAGAACATCAAAACCGGGTGAGGATTCTAACAACTCTTCTCTCTCCACATCATCATCCACTTCATCATCTGAGTGATGAACAAAGGATGAACAGAATCCTCCTTGGTTAAATCCTTCAACAGGAGGTGAAGAATTCAAATTCATAGCATCAACTTCTTCAGATGGAGATCCTGAAATATCTAGAGAAGTGTTTCCTATGGTGAGATTGTCTTTTGCATTGTGGAGATTTACTTCTCTCCGGGTATTTTCATCTGCTGCTCTGTTTGGATTAGTTTTAAATGAATTAGGATGGGTTTCAACTGGGGCCGAGCCTGTTTCACTCCCCACAGATGTCTTTTTCTCAAGATATGGTCCATCATTGACTGCAGACAGTGCCTTTGATGTTTTCCGTGTTGGTGCCCCATCATCAGGTCCATGCAGAAACACGCATTTTTCAGCTCTATTGCAAAATCCATTGAAATAGAAGAAACAGGGAACACGTGTCTTGTTCACAGGTAGCACAGACTGAGGGCAAGTAGGAGCAGATTCAACATTACGACTCTCTAATGGCTGCAGATGGCATAGAAAAAAGGGTGATTATAAAAAGCAGTTATAGTCAAGCAGAGTAAAGGTTAAAGCCAAGATTCAACAACTAATATAGACATCATTGAGATGGAATGCAAGCTCAAAAAGTGCAAACATTGGTAACGATTTTAGTGAAATGACAGCGTACCGGGTGCCGGAAACCACAAGTTGGATTGAGACAGCTCCCTGATAACCAGTACCAACAATCCCTGGGATTGAGCCTAGCAATATCACTGTGCCGGTACTCACATTCAATGCCCTGAAACCCAGAATCCATGCCATCAATGCAAGGCAAAACCAAAATACACGCACAATTAATTCATATCCATCATATCTGGCAGTATGATACAGAATGAAAACAATGGAAACAGACAAGAAAACCGCATAAATGGAATACACGCAGCATTAGCACAGTAACACTATTCAACAAAATCAACTAGAATATAAGAAGACACATTCAGCAAATGACCAATAACCACAGTTTAATGTGAAACAAAGAATTCCATATATCCTAATCCATAACTTCACTCAAAACTAAAGTATATTCTTAAGGCACATAATTAAAATGTATACATCCAAAAACAGATTGCAAACAACTGCCTGCAGGCCATAGCATAAAACTAATAGTAAACAATATATCTAAATCAGAGAAACAAAACGCAACCATATCAATTGTATAGATAAATGTATGTAACCAACACGAAACAATATATCTGCCGCATTAAGTCACTCCACACTGTATAACATATTACTGAGCAACGCAACAACGATTTTGAATCTCCACACATTCGCAAATAAGCGATACACTAGTAGATGTGCACATTGATGAGCGCGTATACGCATATAAACCGTGCAATTTAAACCCTAGTCGGAATGTAATAAAGAAACCGCTACGTTGCAGATGCCGATTTTCAAGATATTCAAAACAGAGTTAGAATTGAAGAGCAAGCAATGATAATCAATCAAGAAAATCAAGATACATTGAGGATTGAAAACAGAAAGAAAAATAAAAGAAAAACGAAGAATTCGAAAATCGCAGAAAAATGTAACGGATAAAGAAGCGCTTACCTTCTTACAAGTGAGAGGAGATGCCAAGAAGTAGACGCAATCGGTGTTGCATTTCTGCATTTCTTCCTCCATCTTCTCCCCTAAAAATTGTAAATATGTACAGAGAAAAGGGGAGAGAAGAGAAGACCGGACTCAAATTCGAAGCGAGGTGGATGGGAGAAATCGCATCGCCTTCGCCATCTGCGTAAAGTGAGTGTATGTATGTATATATACGTACATAGCAATTCTTATACCATCGACCTAGCCCCTTACATTGTAAATCTGTTCCAAAACTATATACCTATAACATATTATGTACTTTTAATAAATTATTTATGTGTTGGTTCGATTAACGATGCATTGAAATTATTTACAATTTAATTTTTCATTATATTAAGTTTAGAATTAGTATGTAAAATTTATATATTTAGAAACTATATTAAAAATAGAAAAATGATGTTTTTAGCCTTTCAATTGTTTTACTTTTGAAAATTTAGCCCTTATCAATTGATTTGAACAAACTTAACTTTTTAATTGTTCATAATATAGCACATTTGGTCCCTCATGTTATATAATTAGAATTGTTTTTAATAATTTATATAATTTATTTATTCAAAATTAAAAATATTTGTAATTATAAATAAATACATAAATTAAAAAACTTTAAAATAAATAAATAAATAAATAAATAAAAATCGCCACCGACTGTCCGCGCTGAACAGTCGGTGGCTGTCTTCTTCACGGAGACGGCCATGGCCGTCTTCATTCGTCGACCATGGTTGTCTTCCTTAGACGGCCGTGGCCGTTTTTTCCATATTCTCTTTCCTAATTACACTTACAAAAACTTCTAAAATACCGCACCGGAAATCAACTACTATAGATGCTCTTATTAGGCACCCATAACAAGGATAATAAATAAACAAAAAGTAGGTAAACATACATTCTTCCCAAGTAGGTAACATACATAAACAATAATAACATTGTCACTTAAAAAGATGGCTTTTTTTTTTTTGAAAAATGATAAAGCTAGTCTTGACAATAAAATTTTAATTTCTTAATATGATCACTATTATTTTTTTTGAAAGTTAATATGATCACTATTATAAATTAATTAAACCTTAACTATTAAATCCTCAATTAATAAATGTCATATGCATGCATGTGTTGTTTGGTTTCAAGAGATGTGAAATTTTTTTAAATAATATTAAACTTTCAAATTTACTTTTATCTTTTTGTTGGGAGTATTTGTGGTTATTTTCATTCGACTAATAGCTCAGCATTACAAAACAATTAATTTTGGATTTACATTTCTTGAACAGAAAGATACGAGGGCATCCTCAATAGTTGGGATTTTGATGTGATTTTTGAGGAGTTTTTGTATATGTGATTAAAAAAGAGAAAATGAGAGGAAATAAAAAATGGAGAAAAAAAAACAAAACAAAACCTGAATTTAAAAAAAAAAAAAAAAAAAAAACAGTCAAAGCTTTAATTAACGCGCCAGGTTGGGCGCTAGTTGGCCTTCACGCAGCCTTGGCTGCAATTCTTTATTTAATATGATGGGTCCCACCAACTGACAAAATCCCCCCAAATAACATAACCAACCCAATTCTTCTCTCACCTATTTCTCTCTCATCCACCATGACATTTTTTCTTCAAATACCGTGAACAATCCCCTATTGGGGTTGCTCTGATGGCCCTCTTGATCTCATGACTCTCTCCACCAGACCGCCCGACTGTCTAATTATGTACTTTATGTATAGTATCTAGCTAGTTATTTTTGTGTGTGTGGTGTAATTATTATTTGATGTGTATTTATGATTTTAAGACAATTAGATTTTGGGAAGTTATGATAGATTAATGCATGATTTAACTTAGAAAACTATATTGGAATGCTGCTCATAACCTGTCCAAAAATTGCACAATTTATGCACACTAAATTAAATTTAAATTCCAAACTAATACACAATTGTAATCAGACGAGAACCATTGATCTTCCCTCCTCTACCTTGAGAGTCTCCATGGGTGAAATCTCTCGTCCTTCCTGCCACTTCCACCTCGAACCCTTCCTTTCATGGAAGTAGAGATGTCAATCTTAGCCCTAAACTAACGGGCTAGCAGGGCCGGTCCTGAGGCAAGGGCAACCTGGGTCCCATGCTTGGGGAGGGTCCCATCCTATCTCTTATATATATATATAATATATATGTATTGAGTATAAGTAATTTATATACATGTATTTTATAGTATGGTGAATTAGTTTGGTTGGTAATATACTTGAATTTCAACCTCATTTAATCAAAGGCCTGTGTTCCAATCCTTCTCTTTACATTTTTGAGTTCCTCAACTTTACTTCTTTGCTTATATTCTAATGTATATTTTAAAAATTTATTTTTATTGATTTTTTTGTATTTAATACGGAGTAGTATTTTTAATGTAGTTTTTAAATATATAAATTTTCATATATTTATACTAAACATATTATGAAATTTTTTTATATTAAATATATAAATTTTTATATTAAATTTTTAATGCAATTTCTAAATTTATTAATTTTTATATACTATTTTCAAAAAATAAATAAATAAATTTTTATATACTTATACTAAACATATTATGAAAAATTGAATTAAAAAAACTTCAATCAACTCATGTTAACAAAACAAGACACGTAAAAATAGAACGGAGGGGGTTATATGATATATATATTTTGAGATTGAATTATAAAAAAAAAAATTAAAAGATAATTTACTCTGTACCTTTTTATGAATATGTAATCAATGTAATATAGAAGCTTCTATCATGTGTCATTATATGTATTCAAATTATTCTTAAAAAAGTTTAAAATTTATCTATTTAAAAGAAAAAGTATTTGTATTGAAAAAATATTTATAGAAGTCATATAAATAATATAGAAGATGTATGATTTATAATATGTTTTATGTTCAAACTATTTTATCTAGACAATTATGTTTAATATCTTTTTGCATTTTTTTATTGCGTTTTGAAATATTTTAATTTCTTGCTCCTAGTCAAAAAAGATTTTTAGCTTTCCATATGTTTGTAATTATTGTTTTATAAATTTTTAATAATAATTAATTTATTATTTATTATGATAAATGTTATTTTTTATAAGTTTACTCGATTTTAAATTATTTGTTCATTTTTATAATCTATAATATTATTTATTTATGAAGGCACTTATACAATTATTTATTATTTTGCATTAAGGAAAGCACCTAGAAATTTTTTTCATGATTATTATTGTGTATGTAAAATTGTTAAAAACTTATTAATCTTATTTAAAGTTATTGATATTAGTAATTTTTCCTTATTTAATTTAAATTTTAGGCATGAAATATATATTAACCAGGGCTCATTTTTTTTAATCTTGCCCTGGGCCTATAAAATGATAGGACCGGCCCTGCGGGCTAGCTCAATAACTCCTGAAAATTATAGGGTTAGGATTGAAAATGATGGAAGCCTTCTTCCTAGCTTCCACTTCTACCTTGAATACCGCGCAGCTTCAATTCATGGAAGCTAAGGCCATCTCCAACCCATTACACCAAATTTTACATCAAATGAAATATTCCCAGCATATTTTTATACCAAATTTTATTCATCTCTAACTCATTACACCAAATTCTATTTCTACACTAAAATAATTTGTTTTCTCATAAATTAAAACTTTAATTTTTAAATATAACATTTAATTGTAATGCAAATAATATTTTTATTCCACAATAATATAACATATAACAACTATTATATTTTTAATTTTCAAAATTACCATATTGTTTCTACATATGTTCAATCAATGCATTACGGAGTGCATAATGCGCTTCTCTGTCTTTAGCAGAAGTGTTTTCAACCGTTGGATTAAATCTCAACAATCTTAACCATTCATTAGTATGCATATCTTTTCAACGCACATTCCAACTAAAGATATGAAAAATCTTATCACAAACTTTAGCAGAAGTGTTTTCAACCGTTGGATTAAATCTCAACAATCTTAACCATTCATTGGTATGCATATCTTTTCAACACACATTTCAACAAAAGATATGATATTTTATCACAAACTTTATCATGAGTCTTTTCATCTATAAATTCTACACTTGGATTGCCAAAGTAAAACCACCACTCTTTGGATTCTCAAATCCCCTCTTTGATTTTGCAACACCTCTCCATTCTCTTTGCAAAATGTCGAGCTCACGCACAATCCAAACTCAATCGAGGAGGATCAACTTCTGTGTCGTGTATTGTGATATTAGCCAAGATCCTAAAATTGGTAAGAATCAAACACAACAAGAATTTTGGACTCGTATTGGGATTGAGTACCAACAAATAATGGTGATATTCGACCTTGGAGATCTCTTCAAATTCGGATGCAAAATATAATGGCAGCTCTTTCAAAATTAAGAGGATGCATCCGCCAAATTGAAAACATGAACCCGATCGGAGCATCTGAACAAGATATTGTGAGTACTATATACATGTTTTATTAGTCATTTGCTTAAATTGTGAGTAGAGTTTTTTCCCAAAATGGTCCCTTGACTATCGCTCATCCTCAATTTTGCATTTCGACTTTTAATTGCACCCAATGTGGTCCTTTGACTTTTAAAAACTCTCCCAAATCGGTCCTCCGTTAGAAATTCCGTCTATTGAGTGTTAAAATGAAGGGCATTTTCGTCCGTTTACCTATTATATGCCTAATATACTCTGAAAAAAGACGAGGGACCATTTTGGGAATAGTCGAGGGATCATTTTGGGAAAAACTCATTTATTTATTTCATTTTTGTTTATTTCCATTTTTTTAAGACTATCAAATTAGAATTTCTATACATTTTTTTTCTTACAAATATAAATAGTTAAAATCCACAATCAAAAGTCAAAATTTTAAACTTTCTCTACAAATTTTTTCCTTCTATCTAAACATACCAACTTCTCTCTATTCCTATCAAGTTTTACAATAAGTATCGTAAGTTTCAAAAATATAATACTCACACACACACACACACACACACACACACACACACACACACACATATATATATATATATATATATACACACACACACACACACACACACACACACACACACACACACACACACACTTCAATAGACAATCAATCACTATGTATCACATTAAATATTATTTTTACCAATAAAAATAACATTACTATTTATCAGTTTAGACACCCAAAATGTACGCTTCATTTCTCGGTCAGTATGCCTTTGAAAATAAAATTATTATTTTTACAATCAATCGCTATGCTTCTAGCACTTCTTGGAACTGAGAAGTACGCGTCACTTCTCGGTCAATGACAAAATCTTAGAAAATATTTTTGAAAAGTTGGCTTAACTTAACTTGCAAGGCCATTAGTTTCATTCCAAAGTTAGTATAAATCATAACTACCATTTCCAAATGCCTATCTACCAAGAAGTACATCATGCTAAAGAGAGTCTACAACTATGGCTATCAATTTTATGTGTTAAACGACAAGTAAAATAAACCGGCCAAATGCAAAAATAATTAGCACAAAACAAGCAATTCTAAACCTAAAGCCTCATCATTTTTCAATATTACAAGTTCTTGTCATTTTGAAGTTTGTTTGTATTTTATATATGAATATTAATAAACTTAAATTTGAAAGTTAAACTTGTTTACCAAAGTACGAAACTTATTGTAAAACTTGATAGGGATAGAGGAAAAATTTGTATGTTTAGACAGAAGGAAAAAATTGTAGAGAATGTTTAAAAACTATTTATATTTGTAAGAAAAAAAAAATCTATAGAAATTCTAATATGATAGTCTTAAAAAATGGAAATAAATAAATGAATTTTACCCAAAATGGTCCCTCGACTATTCTTCAGAGTATATTAGGCATATAATAGGTAAACGGACAAAAATGCCCTTCATTTTAACACTCAATAGACGGAATTTCTAACGGAGGACCAATTTGAGGGAGTTTTTAAAAGCCAAGGGGCCACATTGGGTGCAATTAAAAGTCGAAATGTAAAATTGAGAATGAGCGATAGTCGAGGGACCATTTTGGGAAAAAACTCATTGTGAGTACTTTGTACATATTTGTTATTTATTTGCTTATATTTATGATTTATAACAACTAGATAGAGCAAAAGGCTAGATTTATTGTCACAAGATGCCAAATTTCAAAGGGGGTTTGGATTTGATCAAGTATGGCCTATCTTTAAGGACCTCTATAAGGAATGAGCAACTGCAAATTGTTGCAAAGAAAGCTAACGAGCGAACATATAGAGGAGGGGTTGAATCAAGTAGCTAGTCAATTTAATCATGTAACACCTCACTTTTTCTAAACTTAATTACAATTCTAAATCATAATTAACATAACTAAGCAGCGGATAAATAACTTATTAAGAAAGCTAGTGGGAGTGTCACCGCCACGATCACCATTCCAGGGTGATCGCACAGGCTAAGGATAGAACTAGAAACTAAATAAATAACTAACAATCCATCAAGCTTAATTAAAGCATAAGGGGGATAAACACACCCCAATGTCTACATCATCAAAACGCATCCAAACATCATTAGTCTAAAATCCGGTAGATAAAGTCATAAGCAAAACATAAAGAGTTTAGGCTTCTAAAACTAATATACTAGTCTAACTCGATCACTTCGCAATGCTGGGCCCACCTGAAAGACGTTTTACAAGCAACACATAGACAAATAGGAAAACACCCATTAGCACGAGGCTAAGTATAACCACACTCAACCCTGTAAAGTACTATAGAATATACTTTGAAAAACATTTGATAACATTCATAAACAACAATCTCATCTCATAGGCAACTATAATCACACCACATACTTTCTATATACTTGCAACCTATAATATCAACAGGCATGTTTCAAAACAAAAGACTTAACAACATAGATATTTCCACACGTGAACATCACAACAAACTTATCAAAGCAACCCATGCTTACAAATAAATTCATGCTAATAAACCATACGAAATTTATCTTCATGCTCTCAAGTTCTCATCATGTAAGCTGGGTTACAAGACTTCAAATGTAACTAAACAATCATGCTCGATGTACAAATTTTGAATCATCACTCTCGTTATGCAATCTCATGCAATACTCTACTCAAATGCAATCTCGTGCAATACTATAAATATACTCATATGCAATCTCGTGCAATACTATAAATATACTCATATGCAATCTCGTGCAATACTATATTCATATGCAATCTCGTGCAATACTATAAATATACTCATATGCAATCTCGTGCAATACTATAAATATACTCATACACTCGTTGTAAAATAGAATACTTTCTGTGGAGGTCTCATTGAGCCATAAATGACTTGCTTTCTTTCTTTCTTTTCTTAGAGTCGCAATGACTCACTTCTTTCTTTCTTGGAGTCGTAATGACTCACTTCTTTCTTTCTTAGAGTCACAATGACTCATTAATTCTCTTTAAATGGACGAGGTAGGAACTTCACCAAAGGGTGAATGAACCTATCCGGGCACGGCGTCTAGCCGACCTAATACTCTGCTCGTCCATCGAACCACTCTCTTGGTTCTATGCTCAAACTCTGTGGAATCAGGTATCGAACTATTAGCGTGCAAACCCCCTGACCAGGATTCCAAGCCTGCTGCAAGACTTGGGAATACACAACAATTCCCCAGCTTTGGTTTATTGTGATAGCAAATCAGCTATTGCCATTGTTGAAAATCCGGTTTTCCATGAGAGAACCAAGCATATAGAGATCGATTGTCACCTTGTGAGGAAAAAACTTCAAATGGAACAATAAAACTGCTGCATGTTTCCACTCATAACCAGCTGGCAGATGTGTTTAATCTTCTGTGATCTAATCTCCATGCTGAATCTCCATTGCATATTCGTTCTAGCTTGCAAGGGAGATATCAACTCATACAATAGGCAAAAGCTTAGACAATGCTTCTTGTAACCAACCATAACAGACTAAGTAACAAACTTTCTGTTAGTGGTCTCTGTATATATAGCTTCACTGTTACATTATTGGAAGTTGAATGAAATACTTTTTCTGTTTCTCACCATTCTTTCTAGCTTCTTCTTCATTTCGTGAAAATACCATACCATACATACCAGAATATTATAAAAATTGTATATATCCCCAATTTGAGGGAATAACCCAAAAATTCCGGCCCACAATTTTTCGAGGCCCAATTGTGAAAACGAAATTATACTCCGCATATATTTAATTTTTGGGATAGTTATGCTGTGCATCCGTATGCACCATGCATAATGTTGTTGCTGGGAATTGAACCTGAATTTTTTTTTTAAGGGGAGACATGCGTTTTTAATAAAACGACGTCGTTTTTGCATCCGTATGCACCATGCATGGTGCATACGGATGCAGAGCATAATTTGCCTTATTTTTGGTGTCTATATAAATTCAATCATTATTATGTAGATCATGATCCACACATGTATGTGAGCTATACTATTAAATAATGTATATTAAATACACAAATAATGTATTTTTAGTATATTAAAAATATATATTTTATTCAGAGAAAGTACATTATTTGAGTACTGAAAGTATATTATTTGTATAAGGGTCTACCTTGCATTGTGAACTTTGGTATAAGAATGACATTCAGATTTTGTACTTGCAGTTAACACATTACCTATAATTAACCGTTTATGAACCTATAAACAAATTGAAGGCAAATATGTGAACTACAAACACATAACATGTTAACCAACATTTTAGGTGTTTGCAGTTAACATATCATGTACTGGCAATTAATAGTTTATGTGTTGTAGTTATTATGTTATGTGTTGATAATTGGCATGTAATGTGCCTTCAAATTGTTCATAAGTACAAAATTATTAACTACAAGTACAATAAGTGCAATCGTTATATCGTGCACCAAAACGCACAATGCACTGGCAAAAAATGACGTCATTTTTATAAGTTGTGTGGGAAGTTGACGCGATGGACACCGTTTCGTCCGTCCAATTCCGTTACAGTTTTTTTTTTAACACTTATGTTTATATGTATTTTTTTAAGAGTTGATGTGTATTATGTTAAGAGTTCATGTGTATTATGCATTACGTTAGATTATGTGTATTATGTTAGGAGTTTATGTGTATTCTACTATACAATTTTGTACATCCGAAATATGATTTTTTTTTTTTAAAATTTTTAAATGTTAACGACAGAAAAAAAAAAAAAAACGACGTTATTTTAACCACGACGTATAATGCGTTGTGCGCTCTGGTGCACGATATAATTTGTCCCCCCTAAGTGTAATAACATAATTTTTTGGAAGTTCACAATGACTTCGTCCATGATATGACAATTGATGAAAATTTGTCCATTTTAGTCAATTTTACTCTCTTTCTCTCGTCTCCTCCTCGGCTCCTCTCCGTGTTTTCCCTCGTTGTCTAACGATTAACGAACTCCCTCCATGTCTCACAGATCAGTCATATATCTCTTCTCTCGCGGGCCACAGTGCAATGTAAGAACTCAGGTCTTCTTTCCCCAATCCCTCTTTTCATGAATTCCTTTTGTTTCACTCGTAGTCTCAAGGATCTGCACTGCACTCTACAATCTCTTTGCTAGGGTTTGAGCCAGAGAGGATGACAAAATCACCCATTCATAAATGTTGCTCTTAAGTGATTTAGGTAAATTTCAATATTTCGTTTTCCTTTTCATGTTAACGTGTATACTTGCCTTTGCTTCTGCCTATTTTCAAGTCGTAGTGTGCAGCTTTTGTTTGTTTAAAACAGTGTGTTCCTTGTTATGGCAGTTGCAGATTAACTTAATCTTGCCAATAATTTTATTTTCAAGAAAAAAAAAAGCATGTAATTTCTCATTGTTCATTTCTTCCCCTTACAGTTTCTTGCATAAATAGAAGAAAACAATGATAAAGCTTCATCAGTGTTTTAAGCTTTGAGGTTTGAGATTTCATATTTTGAATTGGAGTTAATGATCATATTGCTGAGCGCTGTTTTCAAATTCTTACTTTTGTTTAGGATTAGGATGAAAACTTATCTTGCAAATGAATTTCTTCCTTACTTTTAGTGGAGTAAGATCTCCATTGACATTTTAAAAGCTCAAACTTCCTAATGATGACCTAGCTAGCCCAGGCAGACACATCATGATCAAATCCTGTTATTTTTGTTAAAAGATGATTTTTGTATATAATATCTCAATTAAATGTTTGTTACAGGACAGAGGACTATGACTAGCTTAGACCCCTTAACTATCAAGGAGCTGATGTCTTCCTCCTTGCATTCTCTCTCATAAGTAGGCCTAGTTTTGGAAACATTTCAGTAAAGGTAATCTTTTTACAGCATTCATTTTCCATTATTGATTATTATATCCGACAGAGTAGTGGAGTTAAATTCTTGGATCATGTAAGTGATCATAATTTCTTTTCTTGTTTTATGCTATTTGTTATGTAGAAGAAGTTGGTTCCAGAGCTAAGAGATTATGCACCTTCAGTACTCATTATTCTAGTGGGGACCAAACTAGGTAAGCGTTCTTCTTTCTTAAAAATTAATGTCTGTTATGTACTTTCTTTATCAGGATGAATTTTCTTGTTTCTTTAGAGTAATAAACTAATAATTTTCAAGTCCCTAGCTAAATTGAATATCTTTAAGACTTTAAAAAAAGTAGAGCTCTTCAATTCCCCTCTTCTTCCACTTATTGATTGAGATAAATTGGTGGGATTAGAGCTTGACACTCGGTTATATGACTCAATAGTGAAGAAAGATAAGTACTTGCTACTAGGCATACATATGATGCAGATGCACTGCTGCTACCATACAAGTGCATCTGATCAGGGATGGCATAAGTAGGTGATGATGAGAGATATTTCTGTGACTTTGTTTACTGAACATCATATCACTATCAGTATCATGTGATGTGAAATTCTGCAAATTTTACCAAAGCTTTGACCTTTGGAATTAAGAGAGACTGAAAACAGAAATATAACAAATAAAGTGGGACAAATAAATAAATTAAATGTGAATAGTTTTGAAATTAAAAGTTAAAAGAGTAAATACCCAAAATGGTCCCTCGACTATAGCTAAATTCACAAATTGGTCCTCGACTTTCAATTTCAACCAATTAAGTCCTTAACTTTGCAATTTTGACACGATTTGGTCCTCCATCTATTTGACCGTTTATTGATCGCGATCTTTGAGGATATATATGTAGTTTCACGTGCAAAGCTCAAGAGAACGCTCTTGGAGGTGACATCGTTGTTTCGGAGGGGGAAGTGCTTCTCCGCTTGTTGCTTGGGGATCACGAGCCGGTTCAGCTTAGAGAACGCTCTTGGAGGTGACAGTGCCGTTTCGGAGGGGGGAAGTGCTTCTCCGCTTGCTGCTTGGGGATCTCGAGCCGGTTCAGCTTGCCTACATCGCTTGGAGTCACGGCTTTCTCGAAGAGCCACTCCAGGGACTTCGGCGATTTATCTATCAAAAGCTATAATCTCTCCGGCATGGGGTGCAGCGCCGGCAGTGGATTCAAATGTAACAGTGCGGTTTAAAAATGCAACCGGAACCTTAAAAAACCGACGATGGACCATGAAATTACATATATATCACAAAAAAGTGCAGTCAACAAACGGTCAAATAGACAAAGGACCAAATTGTGTTAAAATTACAAAGTTAAGGACTTAACAGGTTGAAATTAAAAGTCAAGGACCAATTTGTGAATTTAGCTATAGTCGAGGTACCATTTTGGGTATTTACTCAAGTAAAAATGTGTAAAAGAAGTTATTTGAACGGTTGGCACATTACTTTTTAAGAGGCCAGATGGAAGGGGAATGAAAGTAGCTTTGTATATTTGTTATTGTTTGTTGTTGTTGTTGTTTTTTTTTTTTTTTTTTTTTTTTTTTTTTTTTTTTTTGAGTGATGTTACATTCTCCTTCTAATTTTACCTTTTTATATTTATCTCCTTTTCAAATTTGATTCTTTTTTGTCTAATTAATAAGTTATTTTTAAAAAAATTAAAGATGGAATATGTGTGGCATTCACAAGTAATTAATAAATATTGTCATGAGGTCTGATTATGTAAAATTAGGAGGTAAATGTAAATATTTTAGAGTACTGGAACTCTGGATGAATCAAATCCATCTTGATTCTTGAATGAAAATTTTGATTATGTATATCTTTAGACTTCATCTAATTTAACGCCTCTTGCCTCACTCCTCCCCACGCCATGTTTTGGCACAATCTCATCCTCAACTCATCAACTCCTCTTCCAGTAGCTTCACTTTCTTTCTCTGTTTATTTATTTATTTTATATAATGTCAGAGTTTTGTATAATATTTGAATGTATAGATTTCACTTCTGAGGTGAGGTGATCAATTTTCACTGCTGCATTAGTTTAATAGTTTAGCTAATAGCAGGCATAGTGCAATATGAAAATATAATTTATATATTATAGAACTTAATAGAACTATCTAACCATGAAGTGCTATAAGAGCCAGGCCTTTGTTTGATTAGAATTGGTATCACTGCTTAAAATATCCAGTTTCTCTGTGATACATTGATAAGTACCTTAAAACTATAATTGCATCAAACATGGTTGTTTTCATATTCTTTTATTTTGTTTTTACTTTATTGTTTTATTTTGATCATTACACTGGATTTTCTGTGACAATTCCAGAAGAGCATTTGTTTTTAGTGTAGACCCCTGCAGTGACATGTTGATAATCCTTTCAATTATGGTTTACAGGTTTTCTCGAGTTATATGACATGGAGAGTATCATGAGTGAAACCTCTTTTCCATCACAACCTAAATGGAGAAAAGTTGCTTTTGGAGGGATGCAACCTGGTTTTGATGACAATCATACAGATGAATCTTTCCTAGAAGATATGATTATGAATGGCAATGTTGTCAAAAGGGACTTGCTAAAGGTGATACAAGATTCAGTTTCAATTTCTCAGTATATTTGCACTGTTTGTCTTGTAGTTTTGGTTTGGACCTTTACTCTCAAATCCTCCTTGAATGAGAATTCACTTTTAGTTTTAAATGTTAGCCTTCTTGGACTGGGTTTCTTCACTCTTCTCTTAACTGCAGACATGCTCTCCTTCAATCTTCTTCTCAGTTATGTTCTGAAGATTTCCTTCTTTATTACTGGGTTGTATATGTTGTCTCCTATCTACCATACTCTTACTCGGTCTATAAGCTCAGATTCTATATGGGCACTAATAGCTTCTCTCCTCGCAATCCATCTCTCCCTGCACAATTACTCAGGATCCACCGTAAAAGCTCCCGGAACTTTAGAAAATCCTACCCTTACAAGCAATATCTCTCTGAATGCTTCTATAGTGGCTTCACTTCTGATTGCTTCTCGCCTTCCATCAAGGCTTCATGTATTTGCCATTGTGCTGTTCTCCTTGCAAGTTTTTCTATTCGCTCCATTGGTCACCTACTGTGTGAAGAAGTACTCGTTCAGATTGCACCTGTGTTTTTCCTTTGGGTTAATGGTCTTGACATTAGTTCTCATTTACCAGTTGCACACACTACTCTTTCTTTTATTGTTGGCTGTGCTTATCTTTGTCGATCTGGTATGCCCTTATTGGTTGATACAACTTCAAAAGTATAAGTTTGAGAGGGCTTATTGGTTGATACAACTTCAAAAGTATAAGTTTGAGATTAATGGCCCCTGGGACGAGGCAAAACTCTGTTTTGCTATCACAGAATGAGCAACCAAGTCTGTGGAAGATCCAATTTTGATAAACAGTTCCAGGTGCAGATGCTTTGAATTAGCTACCTAGCCTTGCATTGCACAACCCCAATGCCCTACATACAGTAAGTACTTCATTTCTTTAGCAATTTCAATCTCTGTAAGCGGAAAAAGATCGTCTTGCTAAAATGTATCTTGATGGAACCATGTGAGTTCTAAGAATGATACCCATCAGGTTTTGTGTTTGAGTTATTGTCAGGGTTGTAAAAATTAGCCTAGGTAGCCGCCTAGACCCTAGGCCGAGGGGATTTTTAACCCTAGGTGCCTTTTAGTAGGCTGGCTGACTCGGCCAAGTTGGCTCCTAACTCAGCCAAGTCGGCGCCCTCGGCCGAGTTGGTGCCCTACTTGGCAGAGTCGGCGCCTAATTCAGCCGAGTTTTGTTTTTTGTTTTTTTTTTAAAAAATAATTTTTAAGGGTTCAAGGTGGCTACACATTATTGCAACCTTGGTTATTGTTAAATCTCACAAGGAGTTCTAATACTTGTTTCTCTATTTATATGCTCGAGTTTTTCGCACTTTGGTCCCACGACTATAGTGTTACTATCAATTCACGACTTTCAAACCTTGCAATCTCGGTCAACGATTTTTTTTTTTTTTTTTTTTTTTTTTTTTTTTTTTTTTTTTTGTTGTTGTTGTTGCAAAAATGGTCCTTTCAGTCCATTTTCCGTCAATTTCTCACCGGAGTAAGAACCATTTCTGGCAAAAGTGGGCTAGAAAATTGACGGAAAATGGGCCGGACGGAAGGACTATTTTTGCAAAAAAACAATAGTCGTGGACCGAGATTGCAAGGTTTGAAAATTGTGGATCAATCATGATAGTGCCACTATAGTCGTGGGACCAAAAGTGCGTATTTATTAAATTTGAATCGAAACTTTTTATTTTACTCCAACTACATATCATTTTTTTTTTGAATACTATTAACTTTATTACAATGTAGTATGTGTTCTACTTTTTCTAACTACTGTAGCCAAAAGAGTTAATACCCCATCACCGAGATTCGATCTTGTTACTTTCCCTCAAGGAGAGCCATAGGGGTGCCATTTGACATATTATTAGTTGTTGTCATCTTGCATTGCAAGGATTCCTAACAATGACAAGTCATTTGTTTCTTCTATTCTTCATTTCTTTTCTTAATTCTAATAGTGACAAGATTTTACGGATGGTTGAAGCTAAACCGTTGAAATAAAGCAATTGCCAGCTACCTACTAAAGAATGACATGGATGATTAGTCATTGAATAAATATGTCTTTTGGCATTTAATAATTATATCTATAGATAAAAATAAAAGATGTATAATGATTAATGAGTGAGGGTTTTCACTGTGACATTTTTCTGGTTATGATTTGAGATTTTAGGGGGACACTATGACAAGTCTCTTCCAGTTAAACAATATAGAACAAATTTTTGTTTTTTTTTTTTTTTTTCAAAATGTTGAATTCCTAACCTCAAGGACTTCCCATACCTTGATTTGACAGAGCATGTGAGAGGATGTAAATTACTGTAACTCAGTGGTTCAACAGACAATACTAAATGCCAATGTACACAAGAGATCTGTCTACTTTGAACATATAGAACAATTTTGACAAGACACTATGAAGAGTGTAGTAAAAAAATGTAGAATAATCTTGATTATTTATATGGGATGATCAGACGAATAAAAGGTTGAAAATTTGGAGAAAAATACAGGGATGCATTTTTGCAATTATTACAAATATGAGAGTGTATTGGTGGATAACTAATAGGGCTATTAAATTTGTTGTGTGTAATATATTAGTGCACCTTATAATGCAAATAAGCTTGATGCACTATCAATTATTCACTTTTTTTTTTTTTTTTTTTTGTTTTTTTTTTTTTAACCAAAAGACATGTTTTCACTTGAATCTATTCTCTTTTTTTTTTTTTTTTTTTTTAAATTTTTTTTTTTTTGAGTACTACTGACTTTGTTACACTGCAATATCTATTGATAACTACTTTCTCAACCTACTGAAGCACAAAGAATCAATACCGCCTCTATTGAGTCTTAAACTCACAAATTCATATATGGGAGAACAACTTGGTGTCATTAGACCACAAGGACCTTGGCTTGGGTACTTGAACCTAATGCTTTCTACACCTATTGCATCCAAACTCGCATTCTCACGTGACAGGGATATTTAAATGTAACGCAACGCAATTCGTTAGAAATCCAATCCCTCAATGTGTTTGTGTAAAACATATTGAACTCTTCATTTGATGATCGAATATTGAAAGTTTATATAGAGGTAATAAAATTCTCAACTAAAAGTCTAAGCTGATAGTTAGATTGTGCACATTAATGGTTATATGCTCAACACGCCCCCCACGTGTGCGGCGGGTTCCAAACAACACGCACGTGGACCGTAGTCGCTTAGATTCGAACCCATAACTGTAATTTTGGTCTAGCTCTGATACCAAATTGAAGCATGTGTTCCATCTCAACTAAAAGCCTAAGCTGATAGTTGGATTGCACATTAATAGTTATATGCTCAACACTAGCATATGAGTTTTAAAATGCTTATACATTAGTACCCACAATAAAGTGGGTGCCTACAAACCCCAAATACTTGTACGTTGGTGTCTAGAACAAAATTGAGTCCATTTGAACCTTGCCTCAATGTATGTTAGCAAAGCAAAATTTCTCAACCTATTCGTATTTTAATCCATTAGTTAACTAAGACTATGTGGTCTAATGGTACAATGGTACCGGGTTGAATTTTCATTTGAAAGGTTGTGAGTTTGAGCCTTCTTTGTGTTTCAGTAGATTGAGAAAGTATATGAACAGACACTACATTGTAATAGAGCTAGTAACATTCAAAAAAAAAATCCATTAGTTATGTTTATTTTGTTTTGATAAATTCATGAAATTATGAAGGTGCTGTAGGTGGTGCATATATTACATGAGACAAAAATAATTAATGTCAGAATCATACTGTAACGTACGAACATGGGCATTGCGTAATCGATAATATTTATTTTTATTCCAGTTGAGCCGTTGATCAAATCTAGATCAATGGTTCAAAACAATAAATTTTTTTTTTTTAAAAACACGCGTCAACGAAGGAGAAAAGTAAAGTGTAAAAGTGATGCACTTTATGTCTTTTCATTCTCACTTAATTTTTTTTTTTTTTTGGCTCCGCACATATATATATATATATATATATATATATATATATATATATATATTTGAAACGATGAAATAATATTATACATATTGTGTTTTTATCTTTTTATCTCTATTATCATTATTATTATTATTATTATTATTATTATTATTATTATTATTATTTTTTTTTTTGTTTCTTTGTGATTATTGTCATGTGCACTCCTTGTCACCCTTCTTCAATTGACAATGAATTACTCAAGACCGGATAGATAAATGTCTGTCCTTATATGGCTTTTCTCTCTCTTTTTAATTTCTATTTTCTATCTAATAATTTTTATGATTAAATATGACAATGTCTACTTACGAATACTTAATATTTACACGAATACTTAATATTTACGTTTCTATGTGTCATTAATTTTTTTAATATTTAATTATTATGTCGATTATTTATTACCTTGTAATGAATCAACCCAGTCATACACAACTAAAGAGTTTTTTGTTCGATTATAGATTTTCTGGACCAGTCAACTAAAACAGCTAATCTTGTTCAAGAATTTAAGGTTTGAACCCGAAACTTTTGCTAAAAGTGAAAGCACTTACTTGGAGTGAATAAATGAACGAGAATGTAGTTTTCACAGGGTAAAACAACAATACTACTATTTATCCATTTAACCCATATTTTATGCATAAATGATAGTGGGATGAGAATTCATATTCAGAATCCCCAAAAAACATTCCATAATTGGGCCATAGCAGAAAGCACAACACCTTTAGGCTTTAACCCTCCCCCCTAGACTCTAACCAGTCACCTGAAGAACTCACTCTGTCCTCCTTAATCCTTATTTAAGGATTAAAACTTGTGCCTTTGCTCATCACCAAAATGTTTGAAGGGATTAATGAAATAATCCCCCTCTGATGGATCAAGATCAAGATCAAGATCAAGATTGCTAGCTTTGTGGCATTGAAGTCTGATCAAGAAACACCAGGTTTCTTGAAATCTGTGGGGATGGTTCAAAACAGGATTTTGAGGTTCTCAAGGGATTAAATTGGGTTCTTGAACAAGCAAGCTAAGAAAGATTGTTTGATTCTTTGGTTCTTTATTTTCTCAAGAGCACATCAACTAACATATTTCTGCAGATAGCCTGCAGGAATGTTAGAAACTATTTCATCTGTGCAGAAATTCAATTATTCACCAATACACAGAGGGATTAATGCATACAAGAAAAGGGCAGATTTGATTACCAAAGTTAAGACAAAACCACCGTCCTCGTCGCCTTCTGTACTGCAATCAAGGTGCAAAAGCCCAGATTCTTCCTGGTTGATGATGGCTCATCAGCAGGAAAACACCATAGGCATCATTGGTGGCCTGTCTGCAATGGCCACTCTCACCTTCCTGGAAAAGCTCGAGTTCTGGAGTTCAAGAAACGCGGAGAAACACCACGTGCCCTTCATCGTCTGCAGCGACCCTGCAATAATAAGGAAGAACAACAACAACATTGGACTGCAGCAGCAGATGATTGCTGAGAATCTGTTGCAGAAAAGGTTGTTCCTCGAGGAATCCGGTGCGGGCTGCATTGTCATGCCTTGCCACATGTCTCACCTCTGGTACCCACATGTCTCCAGAGGATGTTCTGTGCCATTTCTTGATGTGAGTGAGTGTGTTGCCAGAGAGCTGAAAGAGGCAAATCTGAAGCCAGTTGAAGGTGGGAGAAGTAATGTGAGAATTGGTGTTCTTGCTGCTGCAGATTCACCTCTGCTTGCTACATTCTATCACCAGAAACTTCACTCTCAGGTACATCATTTTATAACTCCAAACTACTTCACATATACAACACAACCTACCTTATTAATCAACAATATAATAAGAAGAAAATCCACCATCCACTACCCGAAGGAATCTAGGTTTCCTGCCCGCACGGGCTTAACTGTACTCACTGATCCAGTAGGCAGTATTTGGGAGAAGAGATTAAGGTTCGAACCTCCACGACGGCAGTGTGAGGATTATGTCCAAAGTGGACAGATCCCTTATGGATGCTGACATTTGACCATGTCTGCTGATCCACTGAGTTATCGTGATTTACATCATCCCAAATGCCTTTGGGACTGGAGATTCAAGGGAGAAGGAATCTAGATTTCCTGCCCGTACCGGTTTAACTGTACTCATTGATCCAGTAAGCAGTATTTGGGAGAAGAGACCAAGGTTCGAACTTCGGTGACAACAGTGTGAGGATTATGCCCAAAGTAGGTATATTCTTGTGAACGCTGGCATTTGACCTTGTCTGCTGACCCGTAGAGTCACCGTAATTTAAATCCTCCCAAATATCCTTGAGACTGGAGATTCAAGAGAGAAGGAATCTAAGTTTCCTTAAATAAGGTATCGAATTATAAAGTTAGCAATACTTTGGCCCCGGCTTAATCAAAATTATGTACCAAAAAAAGTATAAGGGAAAATGGGAGTTCGATCTAGTCCTCCAATCGTAGGCAAATAGGCTATTCAGTCTCTCAATCATTTGTGCAGATTGTGACGGAACTAGTCTCTAAGGTGATGAAAATTAAACTTGATTTTGATTGCTAAATGCTCAAAACTCTACATTTCAATGTTATTTTTGCAAATTGTGCAACATTCTTCTCTACATGTTCAATAATATATATAATCAACATTCCCTAAACTACAAAGTTGATTTTTTTTTTTTTTTTTTTTTTTGAAAAGGAACAAAGTTGATTTTATTAATTAGGGAGAAAATTAAAGTACTTTACTTTAAATACACAAAAATTAAAAAAAAAAACATTAAAAAGCTAATGCATTTAATCAACTATCAACTAACAGCTAATTTAACAAACACTTTACTACAATCAGCTTATGCTATCAACTTAATAAGCTAACAGCTATTTACCGAACACCCCTACATCTTAGTTAATTGATGAAGTGTTGAACATATATATATATATATATATATATATATATTCACAGGGGTTGGAGTGCATTTTAGCAGACAAACCGACGAGAGAGCATATGGTGATTCCGATGATGGAAGCACTGAAGCAGAAGGACATGGAAGGGGCTCGGAATCTGCTAAGGATTGCAGTTCAGGTTCTTCTGGTACGAGGTGTGAACCTTGTCATCCTCGCAGCAGATGAATTCCAAGGCCTTTTGCCTTGCGACGATCCTCTTCTCAACAAATGCATCGACCCCATGGATGCATTGGCCAGATCAGCCATCAAATGGGCACTACACAAATCTAAACCAATAATCATAGAACAGTAGTACACTCAGGGTGTGTTTGGTTGACAGGTTTAGCTTTAAGGAATGGGTATCAATGTGATTGGTATTGTTTGGTTGATAGGTTTTTAGCAGGGTTGTTCCAATACAAATAGAAGTCATGTGCGACATCTAATTTTGAGCCCTTTTCACAAGAATATCTATTAATCTAGAATCAAGGGCATCCTAATTTCTTGGATCACATATGTCAAATAAAAACGAATCATTTGGTTTAACGTTGTGACCACCATCATCTAAACAACCATCAACATTATTATCATTTTCATCGTCACAGTGATATTATATCATTGTTATGCACACTATCATTTAAATTTTTTCTAGCCTCACAATCACCTTGATCTTCTTTGTGAAGATTAGCATGTAACAAATTTTCATTGACATCATTATTTTGCTCATTGTTATTCTTTTGTAATGAATTTTTCAAGAGCTCCATTTTGAGATTGAGTTAGTTGTTCAATTCATCTTTTCTTTTTATGTTTCTCAGACCCATATGAATATTTTCTAGAAAACATCGTTACAAAATCCTAAGAAAAAAATTGTTTAGAATCTCTATCAATAAATATTTTAGGAAATTTATTAAGAAACAAACTCTTGAATATATTATTCCCTAATTTAGGGAATCCTGAGTGCATATTACTCTAGTTTTCCACGCGCATTGGGCAAATGAGATATGGGAGATGATAGGATATTTTAATAAGTACCTCAAAGTATATATCATTGCAAGATTATATGAGAGATGATAGGATATAATATGATATATACCCCGGGTTGTACCTACATCGATGCTCTCGTTTATAGTCGGGTTGGAGTCAAACGGTTTGGGACGTGGTCATACTCAATGGGTCAAAGTCAAACCCGTCTCGATTGGCTTATAAAAGGGGCCTTAGCCCTCCATTTTAGGGGGTTCTGTCTTCCCTCTCCATTTTCCCTCTCTAAGTTATAGAACTCTCCCTTCTCTCTAGAATATGTACTATACAACACACAACTACACAAGAACATCAATGAATAAGAGATCCTTTTGAGCTATTTTCTCTTGTCTACCCGATTTCTTGGCTTCTACTTGTGATTTTTGTGATGAAATGTGAGATTTGATGCATTGTCTTGTGGTAATGCATATCTAGAGCTTGTTATTAGGGTTCTTGTATGCCATTGCTTGGCTATTTCTTGGGTTCAAGTCATATTGTTGTATTGTGTGAGATTTTGGATGTTTTGGACTTGAATTTGGACTTGTTGTTGAAAATCCCCGAAGGGATTATTTGTGGTACGGGAGTGTACCCGCGGGCGGAACGGCGGGCAGAGCTCCACCCGCCGCCCCACCCGCGGGGTACATATGGTTTGGGTTGTGGTACCCGCGGGTGGAACCACGGGTGGAGGTCCACCCGTGGCCCCATCCGCGGGGAATAACCTTGTGGTCGGTCGGGGATTTGTTCCCCGTGATTCTTTTGACTCGGTATTGATGTTTTGACCTCCCGAAGTTGTTTTATTGGGCTATTTGAGTGTCTTCTTGATGTTTCGTATGTCTAGAACGGTATGATAGGAATCCATGTAGGATTTGGCATCTTGAATCGTGCCAAGTGTTCAACTTTGTGATTCGCTGGACCATGATGAGTCTTGTATGTTCTACGGAACTATGTTTGGTTTAGCCATTTGATAAGCATGCTAGTTTGATGTTGAAATGCTAGTGTGTGTGGTTTGTTTTTACCTATTGAGGTTGGCAACTTGTGTTTACCACCGTTGGTGTCTGATTGTAATCCTTCCTTGTTGAGTATGGTTTCATATCTTTGTTGTGATCCATTGATTGATTCCTATGATGAAAATGTGTGTACTTGCGATACCTTGATTGCACGATTAAGGGTATGGAACCTTAATCTCCAAGGTACCGATGTGGTCCTCGTGGTGGCCATGAATGAAATTGGTGGTGTGACCTGAGCGTAGGCTCATATGTTGGAGGCTGTGTGATTGAAATGAAAAGTACCCTCGTGTACTCATGAATAGGTGGTATGTTGGAGGCTATGTCGGAGGGGGGACGACGGTCCTTGGCGGTATAAGGTTGGACTCAGAAGTACAGGGTGGCACTAGGAGGTAAAGGTTGGAACTGTAATAAAGCCGGGGATAGCCATAAGGTTGGAACTTGTGACATGAAGTGTCACTGTGGCATGTAGATGCCAATGTGTGAATGTCTATTCCTTTCTCATGAGCATGTCGAGTGGTATTCTACTTTGTGATCAGTAGAATACACCTCGAGTTGTATTTGTTTACCATTGTTGTTCTTGTCTTGTTGTAGTCTTGGGATGTTGATTTCCCTTGTTCTTTTGAGAGTAAAATAGAGTCTTTGCAGTTGACTTCTCTCTATGACTTTTGAACTGATATATACTGTATTCCGTTTCGAAAATGGTTTTGACTTATACTATCTATATATGCTACTTAACGCGTATTGATGGGTTACCAGCTGTGACACCCCGAAATCCAAATTCGATTAAGGGATTGATTGAGTAATTAATCCTATTTCAATTGGTAATTTTTTTTGAAGGTTTATACTGCTGTATATTAATGAATAAACTGAATAATAGAGTCAGGAGGGACAGAGTCCCAGTACATAGAATGCTCCTGATCGAATGCTAACGAAGCTAAGGTATGGGCATGTAAATTTAAATTTCTAGAAACATAACTTAAAGAACATTTTGCAAATAGCGATATAGCGGTCCTACATTGGTCGATGATGATCCCAAGGTAAGAGTAGTTAGCCGTACGGCTTGAGTGTAGATAATTCCGAAACTCCAAGCAATCCGTTAATATGTCCACCTCCGTAATATCCCGATTTTTAAGCCAAGATAATACCTCCTTACAAGCGAGCGCTTCGGCCATAGTAGCTGAGAGAGCTCCGGAGATCTTTCCACTTGCTGCTGCAATAAACACGCCATGGTGTGAGATGAGTACTGCTCCATAAGTCGCCTCCCCAGTATGTAATCTGTACCCCGCATCGACGTAACACCGTGGAGCGCTGCCAGGTCCGGCTTCGGCTGCCGTGGCAGGCAGTGAGGTGGAGACCGTGGGCCGTGATTGGCGATAGGCGTGGACGGCTGCCACCGACCGGTGCCAAGTCTGATTTGGTCTCGGGAGGGCATGGTCCCATACCGCAGTATTTCGGGCACTCCAAATATTGTATAGAATAGCCGTAGCTAGACCACACTGTTCCTCTGTCAAGACATTAAAAATCCCCATAAGCCATGTTGATAATGAATTAGTAAGAATATTAGTAACAGGCAATCCCGACAATTCCCATACTAATTTAGAATAATCACACAGTATTAATGCGTGCATGGCGTTTTCTTGCGTCACACGACACATTGGGCAATTCGGCTCAATCTCAACTCGCCTCCTTATTAGATTATCGGTAGTAGGGAGGATATCAGAAACTGCTCTCCACAAAAAGGTCTTCCATCTGGGTGGTATCCTTAATTTCCACAAAGTAACCCATTTATCAAAATCACCTGGGTTATGCTCATAATTCCCTTGAATCTGTCTATAGGCATTTTTAACCGAATATATTTCACTCATTTCCCCCTTCCAATACCATGTGTCCTCATAGTCAGGGCTGACAGGAATCATAGAAATTCGTGCCACATCCTCGGGAATAAATAGATCAGCCAAAATATGCGGGTCCCAGGTATTAGTCTGTTGATCAATCAATCCTGCCACCTGGGCATGTCGCAACTCCTCCGGCATTTCTGTCTGGACTAACGGACTGGGATTATCCGGTAACCAGGGATGACCCCATATTAAAGTTTTTGCACCATTCCCTATCCGCCTTCTCACCCCGGAACAAACCATTCCATGCGCAGCCATTATACTCCTCCAGCAAAAACTTGGGCAATTCCCTATAGTAGCATCAACAAAAGAAGTATTCGGATAATACCTGGCTTTATAGATCCTTGCTGCTAAAGTATTGGGATTTATGAGAAAACGCCATACCTGTTTTCCCAACATAGCCAAGTTAAAAGCCCGTAAATCTTTAAATCCCAAACCCCCATATTTCTTAGGGATGCACAACTTATCCCAAGTTTCCAATGAATTTTCCTTTCAGTCCCTGACCCCCACCAGTATCTATTCATGGTTCTCTCAATAGATGTGCACACTGTCTCAGGTAACAAAAAAACACTCATAGAAAAGGTTAGCATAGATTGAGCCACACTTTTTAAGAGCACCTCCTTACCAGCCTGAGTAAGCAACTTTTTACTCCATGAACCAATCCTTTGTCTGATCTTGTCCTCCACATAGGAAAAAACAGCTCTCTTATTTCTGCCTATAAATGACAAAATCCTAAAAATCCTGAAAATTCAATAGTCGGGGACTAGTAATTGACTAGTCAACCCCAAAGTCAAGGTTGTACCTTAAGCTTTGTAAGGAGTTCCCTTGTTCCCTTACACTTCTTTATGTTAGTAAGAGTATTCTTGACTTTTCACCTTGTGTTATTATTGTAAGCTAACATAGTAGAACACCCTCATTTCTCTCCTTACACTTTCCAAATTCTAGCTCCACCTTCTCTCTAAAAAGGTAGATAGCTTTTCTTCCAAGCCAAGTTGAAGCTTTGCCAAAACTTCAAGAGTTGTCTCCAAGATTCTACCTTTCATACATTTAGGCATCTAGGAGGGTAAGATCTATGTTTATCTTGTGTTTTTAGTGTTTTCTAAGGTGTCTTTTCTTAAAGATAGAATCTTTATGATCTTTTGGTGTGTTTTTGAAGTGGGTTTGGAAGGTGAGCCTTATTAGGAGCTTGGTAAAGTGTTAAGTGAAGGTTTTTTTCTTCAAGAGGTAACCCATGCACTACAAAATCTATTTTGCTTAGCTATGTGATGATTTCTTGGATTCTACATGTGATTTTGCTATGAAATGTGAGTGTTTATGCATTGTCTTGTGAAAATGCATATCTAGAGCTTGTGTTTAGGGTTCATTTGTGCCATTGTTTGGCTATTCCTTTGATTCAAGTCATTTTGTTGTATTTAGTGAGATTTGGCATGTTTTGGACTTGAATTTGAGCTTGAAGTTGAAAATCCCCGAAGGGATTATTTTGTGCAGGTATACGTACCCGCGGGCGGAACGGCGGGTAGGGGTCCAACCCACCGCTCACCTGCGGGGTACAATGGCCGGAGGGTAGTGTACCCGCGGGCGGAACTGCGGGTAGGGGCCTACCTGTGGGTCCACCCGCGAGGTACAC